AGGTCTCACCATATTGCCAAGGCTGGTCTCCAACTCTTGGCCTCATGCAATCCTCCTGCCTCAGCCTCCCAAAATATTGGGATTACAGGCATGAGCCACCACACCTGGCCCCTATATTTTATTTTATTTATTATTTATTTTTATTTTTTATTATACTTTAAGTTCTAGGGTACATGTGCACAATGTGCAGGTTTGTTACATATGTATACATGTGCCATGTTGGTGTGCTGCACCCATGAAGAAATACTCTGTGAGGCTAGAATGGACATATATTATGTCATGATCTCTGTTCTCCAGGTACCTTCGATATTCTCATCCACAACCCAAACTCTGCTTCTCCTCTTATGTTTCTTATTTAAGTTCATCGTTCACCCAGTTGACCACGTGAAAAAACGCAGACACCCTGGAATCTTTCTCCCTAATTTCTGCCTCAAAACCACCTCTTGGGCCGGGCACTGTAGCTCACACCTGTAACCCCAGCACTTTAAGACGCTGAGGTGGGTGGATCTTAATTAATCCCAGGAACTCGACAACAGCCTGGACAACATGGGAGACCCTTACTAAAAATACAAAAAATTAGCCAGGCCTAGGGGCATGCACCTGCGGCCCCAGCTACCCAGGAGGCTGAGGTGGGAGGATCACTTGAGCTTGGGAAGCCAAGGCTGCAGTGAGCAGTGATGGTGCCACTGCACTCCAGCCTGGATGACAGGAGATAGGAGTGAGACCCTGTGTCAAACAAATTCCTGTGTTACCAAGGCAACTGCCCAAAAGGCTCTTAACACAGTCCCCTATACCCATATTCTTGTGCTCTCTCTCGTCCTCTGTCTAGCCATTAATGCCCTCCTTCTAAAAGAAAATCCACATCAATCAACTGCTTTAAGTCCTTTACTGACTTTCCATATCAAGTCCAAATGTCTCAATGTCACACTAAGATCCCCTCACAATCTGGCTGTTTCACCTGCCCCATCTACTACTACTTTTCCATATACATTCTAAGCTCCAGAGTTGGGGGTATTCCATTTTTTAACTCCTGTGTTGCCTCTTTGCATTTCCCCTGTTTAGCAAACTCCCATTCAACCCCTTATATTCAGTTTGAAGTTTTTTGAAGCTTCCCTCTCTTCCCCATGCTCAAGTCCAGCCTTTTTTATAGTCTCTGAGAAATTTATTTTAGGATTAATCACACACTTTGTTGTAAGTTTGTTTACTTTTTTTTTTTTTTGAGATGGAGTCTCGCTCTGTTGCCTGCAATCTCCACCTCCTGCGTTCAGTTGATTCTCCTGCCTCAGCCTCCTAAGTAGCTGGGACTACAGGCGCATGTCACCACACCTAGCTAATTTTTGTATTTTGAGTAGAGACAAGGTTTCACCATGTTTGCCAGGATGGTCTCTATCTCTTGACCTTGTGATGCGCCCTCCTAGGCCTCCCAAAGTGATGGGATTACAGGCATGAGCCACTGTGCCCGGCTGTTGGTTTCTTTTTAAGGTAAGTACTCTGGAAGTCCTCAGGGCCCAGAGAGTGGCTGATACATAATAATTCTCAGTGTTTATTGAAAAATAACTTAATTCAATTACACAGCATAAGCTACATGCAAGGGCTGTATTATGTACGTTATGCTGTGCCTAATAATTCATGATGGGCATTAAAGCGCTGAAAACTTTATGATGTGGTCTCTGAACTAGAAAAAGAGGGATTCAGAGATGAGGCACCATGTGTTTGCTTAGATAAATTCAATTTATTCAACAAATATTTATTGAGCAGTGTGAACGAGGTAGTGAATAAGAGGTAAAGTTGCTGGACTTCTTATCACAATTCTAAGGATACGTATATACTTTATTTACAACTATGTCTGTTGCCAGCAACTTAGAATATTTTGTGGTTGGGTAGAAATTCACCTATTTCTGCCAAGCACAGCGGCTCACGCCTGTAATCTCAGCACTTTGGGAGGCCGAGGCGGGTGGATCACTTGAGGTCAGGAGTTTGAGACCAGCCTGGCCAACATGGTGAAACCCCGTGTCTACTAAAAATACAAAAATTAGCTGGGTGTGGTAGCATGCGCCTGTAATCCCAGCTACTTGGGAGGCTGAGGCATGACAATCGCTTGAACCCAGGAGGTGGAGGTTGCAGTGAGCTGAGATTGTATCACTGTCTGGGTGACAGAGCAAGACTCTGTCTCAAAAAAAAAAAAAAAAAAAAATTCACATATTTCCGACTGTCCTCTTTGCAGGATGGAGAAAAAGGCTGCGGAGACAACAAACATGAATGTAACTATCTTAGCTTTATGTTGCTATAACAGAATAGCTGAGTCTGGGTAATTTATAAAGAAAACAAATGTATTTCTCAGAGTTCCGGAGGCTGGGAAGCCCAAGGCTGAGGGGCCTGATAGGGGCCTGATTCTTTCAAGGGCCTTCTTGCTACCCATGGGTCACCCTATGGCAGAAGGTGGAAGAGCAACAGATCAAGAGAGCAGGCAAGCCAGAGAGGGCTGAACTAACCCACTCTCTCAGCAACCAACCCACTCTCAGGATAACAATCCAATCCCTGAGGATGGAGCCCTCATGGTCTAATCATTTCTTATGGGTCCCACCTCTTAACACGATTAAAATGGCAAATAAATTTCAACATAAGTTTTAGAGGGGACATTCAAACCATAGTAATAATGAATTCAATTTTCTATTTTTCAAGCAATGTTCTTTTGCATTATTTAGCCTTATAGAAATGGGCACTGCAAAAATTCAGTGCCAGGTTGAAAATGCAGTCTACTTTTTTTTTTTTTAGACAGAGTCGTGCTCTGTCATCCAGGTTAGAGTGCAGTGGTGCGATCTTGGCTCACTGCAACCTCCAGCTCCAGGGCGCAAGTGATCCTCCCACTTCAGCCTCCCCAGGAGCTGGGACTACAGGCACGCACCACAATGCCTGGCTAATTTTTGTATTTTTTGTAGAGATGGGGTTTCACCACGTTGCCCAGGCTGGTCTCAAAATCCTTCAATACAGCAATACTCCTAACTCAGCTTCCCCAAGTGCTGGGATTACAGGTGTGAGCCACCACGCCTAGCCTGCAGTCTAGTTTTCTTTTCTTTTTTTCTTTTCTTTTTTTTTTTTTGAGACAGAGTCTTACTCTGTTGCCCAGGCTAGAGTGCAGCGGCACGATCTCAGCTCACTGCAACCTCTGCCTCCTGGGTTCAAGCAATTCTCCTGCCTCAGCTTCCTGAGTAGCTGGGACTACAGGCAACTGACACCATGCCTGGCTAATTTTTGTATTTTCAGTAGAGATAGGGTTTCACTATGTTGGCCAGTCTGGTCTTGAACTCCTGACCTCAAGTGATCTGCCCGCCTCTGCTTCCCCAAGCACTGGAATTACACCTGAGTCACCGTGCCCTGCCTGCAGTCAACTTTTCAATCACATAAATCAGATCCCACAATGCTTCTGCACAATATATTTTAACTGCATCCCATCATATTTAGAAAAAGGCACAAGTCTTTCACCATGGTCCACAAGGCCCTATGTAATCTGGCCCTGCCTACCTCTCTCCTTTGCTCACTTCATCCCAAACACATGGAACTTCCTGCTCTTCGTTTTACACACCAAGCTCATTTCTGCTTAAGGGCATTTGCAGTGCTATTCCCTCCTTCTGACACTCACTTCTCCCAGATTTCTGGTTTACTCCCTCTCTTCATTCAAGTCTCAGTTCAAATGCCATCTCCTCAGAGAGGACTTTCACAACCGCCCTATTTAAAACTGAAGTCCCAAGGAAAGCGGATCGCTTGAGGTCAGGAGTTAGAGACCAACCTGGCCAACATGGTAAAACCCCGTCTCTACTAAAAATACAAAAAAAATTAGCCAGGGGTGGTGGCGCAACTGTAATCCCAGTTACTCCAGAGGCTGAGGCAGGAGAATTTCTTCAATCTGGGAAGTGGAGGTTGCAGTGAGCCAAGATCGTACCACTGCACTCCAGACTGGATGACAGAGTAAGACTCTGTCTCAAAAATAATAATAATAATAAAATAAAACTGAAGTCCCATCCCTATTCCTTTACTCTGATTTATTTTCCTGTATTCTTTAACACTGCCGCTTAATAGTTATATATTGTTTATCACTACCCACTAGAATGGGGACGTGCATGTCTTTTTCACTGTAATTTGCAATATTCACCAGCACCTAGAACAGTGTCTGGCACACAGCAGCCTCACAATAAATATATATTAAATACATGCATTTCATTCTCACCACAATCATTCAATTCCTACGACCTTGAGTAATTCGTTGAGCAAACACTCAAGCTCTGACCCTTAAATAAAAGCAATAAAACAAAGTTTTGTCCTTGTCATCAAGTTCTATATATCCGGAGGCCAAGAACTATATATAGCAGGTCTTCCTATGGATCTAGGGCCGGAAAACTCTAGCTCCTCCAGACAAAACTTGTAGCAACCTGAACCATGAAATTAAGGGGTAGTAAATAGTCTCAGCAGTAAAAACGTTCAAAACAAGACCACATCTAAACGCCACAATAAGGTTTTAAAGGCCAGCTCTCTACCCTCCAATAACAGGTATATACCAACACCCCAAATTATGACTCTTTTGGGTTTTTAACCCTTTTTCTGTACTACAGATCCTCTGTCAGTCTGGTGAAAACTAGACCCGTCTTGAGACTAGTGCTTCTAAATGCATAAAACAAACAAAAACAGCTACGAAAGAAACCCACGCTACATTACAGGACCGCAGATGTAAAAGCCCCTCTGCTCTGTTTGCCGCAGTGGGAAAAAACGAGAAAATGTGGAAGGCCATAGAAGGATCCCAGGGAACTGAAACCCGCGTCCCCGGGCGCGTCCCCAATTCACTCTCAGTGGCAGGGAGACCCGGAGCTGCGACCCAGCCAGCCCTAGGGGGCGTGTCTGAGGACGCGGAGGAAGGAGACGCGGGCCCGGGTCTGGGAGGAAGGTGAGGGAAGATTCCAAAGCGCGCGGGGCCGCGCTCCCCACGGCGTGGCCCACCCGCGCCTCACCGGTCCCAGCAGTCCCCAGCAGCCGCTCGGGCACCCCTTGTAGGTCTTCATGGAGGCCGCGGAAGATCTCGTGCAGCTTCTCGAAATGCTCCGAGGAGGCGGCGGAGGCGGCCATGGCGCAGGACGCGCTCGAGCAGCGGCCACCCAGATTCGGGGCTCTGGGCCCTCTCCTAGCCCGGCGGTCAGCCGCCCAGTTCCGTGGCCATAACGGCGACCGCCGCACCACCGCTGCCCAGGACGAGGCTCTTCCGGGGCCGCAGAAGGGTCCTCCCGAGCCGGAACGCCCACCCTCTCTAGCCCGTGATTGCGGGAGCGCCGGCGCGAAGGCCTGACGAGAAGGCGGCAGACTGCGCGGCCTAGGCGACTCCTGAGGGAGCGAGCGGGGCGAATGGTAGTCGCAGAGCCCGAGAAGTGCCCGGTCCGGGGTGGGGAAAGGCCGCAGAGTAAGGGCCCTAGGGGACCTGCGGGACGGGCAGCTCGGCCGCCTTCCTCCCGGGCCCCGCCGGCCGGCCAGGGGCGGGCGCTGCAGTGCACGCCGGGGGATGTAGTTTGACTCGGAGAGCGTCTGGTGCCGGAGTCGCGCGTTGCCCGGGTTGCCAGGTTTAGCCCGCGAGGCGACAGCGGGCTTCGGCCCGATTTGATGTGTTTGCGTCTAGACGTCGTCCTCACTGTCATCGCGCTTTGCTTTGCCACCCTGACCCGAATTCCTCATTTCGCGTCTTGACCGAATGTTAGCTTTAGGCCCTGGAAAGATAGCCGGGCCGGGGGCTCTGCCTGCAGTCGGGAGGTGGAGCACTTTTCCTGGAAGGCCCAGCGGCTCTCCAAGCTTTCAGAAGTGGAACCCGGCCGGGCGAGTGGCTCGCGTCTGTAATCCCAGTACTTTGGGAGGCCGAGGTGGGAGGATTGCTTGAACCCAGTAGTTCGAGACCAGCCTGGTCACAATAGCGAGAGCACTACCGGAAACCCAAAATAGGAGCCCGGCAAGGTGGCGGGCACTTTTGGCCCCAGCTACGCCGGAGGCTGAAGCAGGAGGATTACTTGAGTCCACAAGGTTGAGATTGCAGAGTTCCCACCACTGCACTCCAGCTTGGGAGACTTTGCTCCCAAGTGGAGGGTGACCTTGTCTCCAAACAAACCCAAAAAACAAAAATTCAAAAGTGGAACCCAGTTAGGATGACCTCGAAATACTCTAGCTGCTAGCTAGGCTGCCTCGTGCACTTGTTCACAACAGGTGTTTGTCAAGCGTAGGCATTGCGAGGGATCTGGGCATGTTGGTGAATAAAACATTTACTCTCTGCTCCGGGGGAATTTATAATCTGGTGTGGAAGGTGGGCCTGGCTTCATTAGGTCTCATCTGCCACTAAGTGTCACTTGTTAACAATTACAAGGTCCTTTCCTGCATTCCATGGGTATAAGTGCTGGTCTTCAGGTCGGGCATGGTGGCTCAAGCATCATCCCAGCACTTTGGGAGGCCGACGCGGGCGGATCACTTGAAGTCAGGAGTTCGAGACCAGCCTAGCCAACACGGTGAAACCCCCATCTCTGCTAAAATCACAAAAATTAGCCGAGCGTGATGGTGGGCGCCTGTAATCCCAGCTACTCGGGAGGCTAAGGCAGGAGAATCACCTGAACCCGGGAGGTAGTGGTTGCAGTGAGCTGAGATCATGCCACTGCACTCCAGCCTGGGTGACAAAGCAAGATCCTATCTCAAAAAAATTAAAATAAATTCTTATTTTCACCGATTTCACGGTTTGCTCAAGGTGTCTGTTCTCAAATGTTTGCTTGGGAGCTCAATTTTAAACTGCCTACAAATATTAAAAGATGTATGAATGCTCAGGAGAAAATGCTTTGCTAATTTATATCTCCTGGGCCCTCATTTTTATTAGATCAAGTTCATTGGCTGTTGATTCAGCACACTTTGGTTGAGCTCTTAATATGCACTGAGCACAGACATGACCAAGTCTGAGGTAACTGTCAGTATACTGTGTAAGTCCCACAACACAATGCTGGGACTTGTCACAGTACAGAAATAAGCGGCAGGTGCAAAAAAAAGATTAATAGCCTGGGGCTGGGCGCCATGGCTCACACCTGTACCCCAGCACTTTGGGAGGCCGAGGCAGGACGACTGTTTGAGCTCAGAGTTTGAGGCCAGCCTGGGCAACAAAGCAAGACCCTGTCTCTAATAAAAAAGAAAAGAAAAAAGAAAAAAAAAATGGCCCGGGATGATCAAGAAATGTGGGAAAAGTATCTGTGAAGAGTGTCAAAAAATGTTAAGTAGAAAATGGTGAATGAATAATCAGATTATCACACAACCTAAATTAATAGCATGTGGATTGAGATTGCACTGTAGCTAGACTCTGGGACAAATTATTCTTTAGAATGAGAAATCATTGCATAACTATAATGAACAGTGTTTTCTTCTTTTGACTGTAATTAAACTTTTAATTCTTAGTTTTTATTCTGGTAAATGAAAACAAAAAATAATCAAAAAATTTTTATTTGTCATTGACAGTTCAATATAAATTAAGTAAAACATTAATTCATTTATTCTACACTATTATCAGAATTTTTCTAATTTTTCCATAAAATGACCATTTCTAAACATATAGCTTAATGGTCAAAACAAGTTCAATAAAATATTAATTTACAAATATCAGAAGTGAAGACTGTAGTCCTATAATTCTTTCCCCCACCAAAGTTAAAATATAATTGTCATTCCAGGAAATCAAAATCTTTTAGAACAGCACACTCTAAACAAGTGATGGGAACACTACTAATTCCTCAGACTTCCTCTGGCATTACTTTTGATAAAGAGTCTCCAGCCAGGCACGGTGGCTCAAGCCTGTAATCCCAGCACTTTGGGAGGCCGAGACGGGCGGATCACGAGGTCAGGAGATTGAGACCATCCTGGCTAACATGGTGAAACCCCGTCTCTACTAAAAAATACAAAAAAACTAGCCGGGCGAGGTGGCGGGCGCCTGTAGTCCCAGCTACTCGGGAGGTTGAGGCAGGAGAATGGCCTAAACCCCGAAGGCGGAGCTTGCAGTGAGCTGAGATCCGGCCACTGCACTCCAGCCTGGGCGACAGAGCAAGATTCTGTCTCAAAAAAAAAAAAAAAAAGTCTCCAAATAAAATACAGAATTTTGGCACATAGACATTTTAGTCTTGTCAAGACAATGTAAGGAAATGCCCCAAAAGATTATTAAATTGACCATAATTACCAATATCAGTCCCTAAGATAATTTTTCTGAATAAAAGAATTGGGTTTTTTATTTTTGTTTTTAGGATTTTTTTTTTTTTTTTTTTTTGCTACACTGGTTTTTGTTAAGACCTCATCAGTCTTGGATGCTCACCCTCAATTCTTCCATAGCTATGTTAGTATATTTAATGTCTTTTGCTATTTTCTTAATCCTTAACTAGTCCCTTCATTTCATGCATTATCTTCCAGTATTCTCCTTCTTTATTTTCACTTCTTCCCTGCTACCCATGTGCTCTTGGTGGGTAGTTACATATACAGAATCTGCTTCCCTCTGCAGTGTTTCATTTGCATAAAGACTGGATGGCATTGGTTTGCTCCATCTCTGATTATTGTGGCTGTTTTGAACTTTGTGAAAATACTCCCTTGGCATACATAAACAAGAAGACACACAAAGATACACACAATGATGATGACCAAAAAGCCTTTCTTCTCATTTTCTAAGAGAAACTAAGGCACAAAAAAGGAGTCTTCCATGGGCCTGGGGTCACTAACTGGAGTCCAGTGGCCTGACTTTTCAGAGTGCTCCTTTCCTTATCTACTTCCTGGTTCAAGAAACAGGAAAATGACAGTTTGAACTTGATTATAATTTCTGCCTTCCTCTACATTTCTGCCATTCCCCAAACCTCACAAACTTCTTAGAAAAGAAGCTGTTCTGTGGTTTAGACATGAGAAAGCATCTTAACAGCAGTGGCTTTAGGTTGTCAGAGATAAGACCATGCCATAATCCAGCCTCAGTTAAGAATCTCCTGAAAGAATCCAGAAGCTGGTGCATGACAGTTAAAGAGGTGAGGGTCAAGCCCTGCTCTTTTTTTTTTTTTTTTTTCCTGAGACAAAGTCTTGCTCTGCTGCACAGGCTGCAGTGCAGTGATGCAATCTCAGCTTACTTTACACCCTTCGGGTTTGAGCGATTCTCCTGCCTCAGCCTCCCCAGTAGCTGGGATTACAGGTGTGTGCCACCATGCCTGGCTAATTTTGTATTTTTAGCAGAGGTGGGGTTTCACCATGTTGGCCAGGCTGGTCTTGAACTACTGACCTCTGGTGATCCACCATGCCTGGTCAAGCCCTACTCCTGAGCTCATGGAGTTTAGCTGAGGTTGCAGTGTGGCCCTTTTGAAGTGAAGACTGGTTGGTTGGGAGAAACTGAATTGTGAATAGAAAAGCTAGTTCAAATTCGTATAAATCATCCCTGCTATAGTTTAGATTCTCCTAGGTAGTAGTTTCTTTCAGAAGGAAAATATGAGCTATGCAAGTCATATGAGGGTCTTCTTATCCTATTATGATATCTCTAGTAACTCTGGCAGTAACAGAAGCAAAGTAAATCTGGACATGATAGACATTTAGATGAATCTGGCAGTACACTGAGTTTTAACTGGACACCAAGCAGGCAAGGCTGGAAGGTTTTGCTCTCTTTGTGCTAAAGGTTTTGGAAACCTTGAAGGAGAATCATTTTGACAAGAAGTACTGTGTAGTCTGCTGCAGTCTTCTCTTGGGTCCAACTGCCACTGCCTGTTAGTCCATTGGGAGGCCCAGCAGGTCACAGCTGACGTCCCACAGCCGCCTTGCTATTGTCTCATTACGAGCTTGGGCAGAGACCCATGTCACATGACAGTCACTGGAAGGTAAAGAGAGAGGTATGAAGCACAGTGTTAAGAATGAAGTCTGCCATCTGCCAGGGATAAGGAATATGACATAAAAACAACCAGGGATCACATGTTCTCCATGTACTTCACAGGGCCAGTGTTTGTCCTATGTCTTTATCCTCCAGTCCTTAGCCAGACAAAATGTAATTCCCATTTTAGATCTCCTCGCTAGACCACCTCTCATCAGAATGCTTTGTTTGATATATAATGCATACATCTGGTCTTTATATTCCCCTATTTATATAATTTAATATCAGTGCCTGCCTGATACCCACGTATATCTATCTTCTTCAAGTAACTCCACAGGGCCCATTCTACAGGGCCTTGGACAATGTCATATAGCTGAGATCCTGCTATTCACATTGGTCAGAGATGCTTGGAGTAGTTAAAAAAAAAAAAAAAAAAGCTGATTTCTGGACTACCTGAAGTTATACTGTTTGTAAACTCATATGAGAAGTAAAGCCAGCTTCAAAAACAACAAAAGGAAAACGCGACAGCAGAAAAGAAATGGTAAAACCAAGGTACCAGGTGTCTGGGTCCGTTTTGTGGTGCTGTAACAGAATATGACAGACTGGGGAACTATAATGAGCTTACAGAAA